CGACGAGAAAGTTGGGCTCGAACAGCGCATACACCAACTCAGCACTCGTATTTCCATCGGCCCCGTTCGAGGAGGTGCAGACGTGCACAAGCACACACGTCTCGAACGACGGAACCAACTCGGCTAGTGTATGCATCGACGGCCGCGATAGAAGCGCGGCTGATGCCGCAGAGCGTCTTCGCCGTAACGTGCGCTCAACTCCACCATCCCCACTCGTCACGGCGCTAGGTTGCTCGGACGCTGCTGACATGCCTTTTTGGGCTACTTGGGCCTTTATTGTGCGGAGCGGTGAGGTAGACGCCGATGCTTGCGACGGTACAGTCCTTGTAGCGATGATGGTGGTAGTACAGAGTGCTGAATCGGATGCGGATGGCGTGTGCGTGGGTAAAGGTGCAGCGCGTTGGGACAAAGGGACATCGTTGTGGTGGGTGAGCGATCCGTGCGCCACTGTTGCGACCTCAAAGTCATCGACGACAGCGCATCCAGACGATGCATGCTTGCAGTGGCTTGAAATTCGGGTGGGCTTTGTATGCAGCGGCCTGCGTTGTCTGCAGCACGTACTTCTACAAGCCGGGAGAGGCCCATGCGCGACTCGTTGCCATGCCGCGATACGATTCCGCAGCCGAGGAGACAGAGCGTGTGCCGACGTCCTTCGGCTTTACGGAATGCTAGTGCCCTCGGAACAGGTTTACCGAAGCGCACCGAGCGCTCGCAAGCATCATATGCATGCTCCTCCCAAGTGTTCGGACGAGGCAGCACAACAAATCGCCATCGGCAACTCAGATGCTGGGGCGCACAATCACTTCTTGCCTGCCGACGCTTGGGCAGCTTCGGCCTCTTCGCTCTCGAGCAGAGCCTTGATCTTGCGCGTGTCGCTCTCGATATGCAGGCTTTCCATGATGTAGTCGAGCCCGGTGCCCGGCTCGTGCTCACCCTCCATGATCGAGTCGATGCCGTTGAGACTGAGGTTGACGCGGTGGTCGGTAACGCGATCTTGCGGGAAGTTGTAGGTGCGGACGCGATCGCTTCGGTCCATGCTGGCGACCTGAGCGAGTCGACGCTCTCGGTTTCCCTCGACCTCCTGCTTGAGTCTGCGGTCGAGAAGCCTTGCTCTCAGGACCGCCCATGCCTTTGTGCGATTCTGATGCTGCGAGCGGCTGTCCTGCATGGAGACGGTGATGCCGGTGGGCTCGTGGGTGAGTCGGATGGCCGACTCGGTCTTGTTGACGTGCTGACCGCCTGCGCCGCGCGATCTCATCACCTCGACCTTGACATCTTTGGGATCCACCAGGTCGTCCGCCTTATTCTCGGAGCCCTCCGAGATGGGAAGGACCATCACGGCGATCGTCGACGTCTGCAGCTTTCCCAAGCTCTGTGTGGCCGGGATGCGCTGCACTCGGTGCACGCCTGCTTCAAACTTGAGCTTCTGAAAGGCACCCTTGCCCTTGACTTCGATGATGGCCTCCTTGAGCCCGGCACCCGAGCCTGAAGAGGAGGTGGATACGTCGACGCTCGTGCTTGATAGCATCTCCACCTGCCATTCGCCAGATCCGTCCTCGTCGGCTGGCTTTTGCTCGCAGAACCTCTCGTACATACGAGCCACCTCGGCGGTGAAGAGAGTCGACTCCTGTCCACCCACGCCAGGCCTGACTTCAAGCACGGCGCCCACAGCTTGGGCTTCGATCGCGTCGGTGATGGACGAGAGTATGAGCTCCTCCATCTGTGAACGAGCTTCGGCGAGCTCCTCTTCGAGCAGGGGAAGCTCTTCCGTGGCAAGGGCGCGCATGTCCTCGTCCGGGTCGCTCTGGCTCATGGCCAAGGTGCTGAGCAGCTGCTTGCGCTTGGTCGAAAAGGCCTCCCACACCTGACGAAGGCCGTCGAGCTCCTTGAGCTGCTTGCCTATGTCGGCGCCGTCGAGTTCCTCCGAGGACTTGAGGAGCCGCTCCCGCTTCTCCATCCTGAGCCTTGCCAATCGCACGACTGGATCCTTGTCGATTTCCAGGGAGGGTCCTTGCGGGGTCGTCGACCCGCTTGTCTTTGTCGCATATGAGCGTCTTGCACCAGTCAGGTTGAACGCGCCTGTTTTCCGTGATCCTGATCCACGACTTGCATCCGATATGGAGGAGGTTGATGCGTGCAAGGCTGGGGTCGAGTATGGAGAGCAGCCGAGAGGGGCCAAACGCAGGCTTTGGCTTGAAAGCTGCGATCTTCGGGCCAAGGGCCGCGCTATTGAGCTGCATGCATAGCTTGCACTACGAAGCACCATATTGTTGAAGTGATCACCGTGGGCGCTTGCTGATGAAGTCGAGAGCTGTCGGCACGGGAAGGCAAGAGAGGTGGCCTGGAAGCTTTTGAGAAGAAAGCTTCGGGTCGGGAGTCGGGACCCTTATGCGAAGCGGCTGGGTTGGAAAAAAAGGAAGCGCATGGCATACGAAGCTCTAACATCAGCGATCTCTCGCGCCGATGGTGCCATGACCGCGAAGGTACTCGCCATCTCAGATAACGCCGACTGTGACAAAAAGCGACCACCACGGTTATGCGTCGATAGCGTGCTCCGGTCCGTCGTCTCGAGAGGCATGTCTCCCGCTGTCCAGTGCACGCTGCGTTGTCTCCCACGGTGCTCGGTGTGGAGTACCGCCGATGTCGTGTGTTGGCGACCTCAGACTTGGTGTGACCGGCACGGTGCCCGCCCTCCCCTTGGTGGACTCTGGACAGCGCCATGAGGCCCGCTCGTGTCCCCTGTTGCTCTGACGCTACTGCAGAGCCGCCGGATTGATGTGTCGCTCGACTGGGATGATTATGCTGCGACTTTGGCCTCTTTTATAAGGCATCCTTGCTCCTTCTCGTCTACCAGCATGTCCCTACTCTCCTAACGATCTTTCCTTCATCGAGTGTCACAACCCACTTCCACCCACCTATACCATGACTCCCAAGCGACAGTCAAGCAAGGCGTCGCCCTCGGATCCGGTCACCCAGCTGGCAGCCGGTCCGGCCGAGGAGCAGCCTGCACTCAACAAAGATGGCAGCCGACGCAAATCGCGGGTGCTGCGACGCAAGACCGACCATTCGGTGATCGAGAGGCGCAGAAGAGAAAAGATCAACGAGAAGCTCGTGGCTCTGCAGAACCTTGTGCCTGCGTGTCGCAAAGAATGCAGGGATCTGATCGAGCGCAAGTTCGCCGAAGCAGCCACCTCGGCCCCATCGGCGAAGCGCAAGCGAGAGGAGGAGAAGCTGGCAAAGGCACAGATCGAGATGCAGGAGAAGATCAAGACGAGCATGGTTCTCGAGAAGCTCTGCATCATCAGCCACACCCTTGACTTTGTCAACCAGCTCCAAGAAGAGAACGAGGCGCTGAGGGCTCTGTGCGAATGCCAGGCCCAGTCAAAGAGGCGTTTCTCCATCACCAGTGACGTTGAGATGGACGAGCACTATCGCGATGCCCACAACCTCGAGGCTCCCACCGCTGCCACCTCGAACGGGGAGTATCGGGATGGAAAAGCTGCGGATGATCAGAAACGGGAGTGTCTCTCGTCGCCGGAGCCGGATCTGTTGCCAGAGACAGCATACCGAAACGTCCGACGTCGACTGCATTGGGGCAGCGACCGTGTCCGTGAGAGCTGCAGTCTTACCGAAGGTGTCTGCCGCCACCACGAGGATCAGGACGTCAGCCAGGCCGACGATGTCTTGAGCCACAGATGTTTGTCGACCTCGTCGCAAGGTGGCTCTACCTCTCCGCCCGCAGCAGACTGCAAGGCCTTGACACTTTCGCCTGGGGGGGAAAGAGAGTGCGGCAGTGTTTCCGGGTGTCGTTCATCTGTGTGTGGCGACTCTAGCTGCCGGTCATCCCTCTGGACCAAAGACTCGTCTTGCCGAGAAGAAGAGGCTCTATCCTCGTCTGCTTCCGACGAGCCTGCGTCGCCGCCGCCCGCTGTGGCCAGCTGGCGTGAGCCTGGCTCGACATACCGTCAGGCACTTCCGAACAGACACCTTCTTCCTTCCATACTGCATCTGGGTCTACCCAATTGCGATCCCCACCATCCGGTGCTAAGGAAAGAGAATGCCTACTCGATGCATCGCAAGTACCCGACTCACCAGCGAGACCTCGCCTCTTCTCGCGCCTTTCGCCCACTCTCGCTCTACACATCACAGCCAAGCCGCCCACTCAGCTCTAGTACAAGACCTCTGTAGTCTAGCAATCTCAGCTGTCGATACGGCATAGACAGTGCTCGCACATGCAAAGGCCGGACGTTGAGCATGCGGAAAGAAAGAACAGGTGCAAAGTGTCAAGCAAAGTGTCAGCAGGATGTGTACGCAGCCTGAGGTCGAGCAGTCATACAAGAGCAGCTTTCGTATAGTGGTTATTACGGCT